CCTTCATTTGCATCTTTGTTCTTGTCAGTAATTCGTCCTTATTCTCTGCTGTACATGTAATTTACAGTACAGTTCCTTTCCAAGAGACAACTATTAACATAAACTAGGGTAAGAGGGTTAAAAAAGGAGTTTGAGTAAAATAAATGTAAATTTACCAGCCCTTCTGGCTGTGATCTTGGAGCCATGCCGCAGTAAACGAATGCACACTTCCTTGTTGCAGTGGTTAACCATCCGCAAATGAATGCTTCTCTTGGTTTGGATTTTTACAAGACATTTCACCATTTTGACTATTAATTCCTCTTCTCAAAGTCTTGTAAAAGCTCTAGCCATACCAGCTTTGACCTTTTATTAAGTTCCCACTGAGTTTAAAGAGACTAACACAAGTCGTTCTCAATGAATCAAATGACAAGCTTCTAACATGCCCAACAAAAATATCCCAGCAGGGAACAGAACCAGAGGTTATTTTTAAACATTTCCAAATGCCTCATAATGTACAATACAAACTTTCACAGCACACATCTCAGTTAGCAGTTGCTAGCATAACAGCTGAACCACACACAGAGGCATAAAAATATCTAAGGCACCAAAACATAGTGCAGTTAAAAAAGAGGCCAGCATTCATAGTCCCATTATTTTTCTAAAATGCTTTAATATGCCAGTAATGTCAGTTCCCATCACTGCCTGGAAATTATTTGTGAAACATCCGGATACAATGGAAAAATCCTATCCTGTGCTTACAAACCTTAGTCACAAAGCAAACCAGTGAGACAAAAACACGTTAATTTCTAGCCTGGAATGAAAACTGTCCATCCCATGTAAAAACAAGGGCATAAAATTTCTAAGTCTGGAAAAAAAAATTCTCTCTTTACATATGAGCTTCAGCTCCTGCTTGAGGACAATTGTTGGACAGATTCTTATCCACCAGAAAGAAGTGTTGTTTCAGAAGGCTGGGCACTTCCCTGCTCCTGTCCAGCAGAGATATACAGGTTCCCAAAAAAACCACGATGCACCTATGTTGGCTGCTGATAACTTGCTCCAGCTGGGAGCTGGAAGACATAACATCACAGTATCCTAGTTGGAAAGAAACTCTTCTCACCAAAGCCACAGGGAAGAAATAAACTGGGAAGAGTACACTGGTGGGGATGTAGTCTGTCACTTCCCAGAATACTCATCTGTAATGTCTATGACATGTTGTGTTGAGTCTTCATTACCTGATGTCCTTGTTCTCTTTGTACCAAAAAAATTCAGTGATGCACGCAAATATGTGGGAGAGAGGAGTAGAAGAGGGAGTTCTGCAAATACTTATTTTACACACAAATATTTCTCTCATAAAGGACATCTGCTTCAATTAAGGTTTTGGAAAGCATCTTTATGGTGGCTCCCGCACAGCCTCTATAGTACAAATATCCAGCAGAGGTCCTGTTTACTCCTTCCTCTGCCAGAGCAAAGATTTCTCTCTTCCTTTCCTTCTCTGCAAGCACTTTCTTGTGGGTGTGAGGAAAGATCAAGTACCCCTTCACCTCCTATCTCCATTTTGTCACCCCTTCAAAAGTAAGACTCTGTCCTCTTTTCTCATTTTTATTCTCATAACTGTTGTAGCAACCAAACAGGGTCATTAAATTCTAACTAAAAGGGGTTGGCCCTTCATTGTGTACATGGCTACATAAACTGGAAAGCAGTAATTCTTACAAAAATCTAACCACTGGTGTATTCAACACATAAAGGAAGGCCTCAAGTGTCAGCCAGACATGGTCATGAAAGATTTCCAACATTTGAAACATTTCCAAATGCTTTGTAACACACATTGCAAACTTCCACAGCATCCATCTCAGCTAGCAGTTGCTAGCATAACAGCTGAACCACACAGAAGCATAAAAATATCCAAGGCGTCAAATCCTAGTACAAGAGGAAAAAAGGCCAGTGTGTTCCTGCATTCTGATGTTGAGAAGTAAAATTTATAATTTATGTTTCATGTGACCATGCTTATGCAAAAGAGAAATGACCGTGTTAATTTCAAATCGCTCCCCCTGGTTTTTTTTACACATAACTAAGGGAGAAATCTTAAAATCTTACAACTGACTCAGAAAGACTCTGACTCCTGGTCTATACTAACTCTCAGCAAGAGACTATATAAAAAAGATTAATATAGTTGTACCTACAAAAGCTCCATATGCCTCTCCTCTACAACCAAATCTTACACTGCTGAGTACCCTCACAGACAATTAGACTGATGGTAGCAGGTGTGTGCTCATTTCTGTGCATAGAATCATTAAGGTTGAAAAGTCAAGTCTGTTAACCCAGCACTGCTGTGCTCACCACTAAACCATGTCCCCAGGCACCACATCCACACACCTTTTGAATGCTTCCAAGGAAGTTGATTCAGTCATGTCCCTGGACAGTTGGTTCCAATGTCTGACCATCCTTTTGGTAAGGAAATTTTTCTTATATCCAAACTAGACCTTCTCAGGTACAACATGAGGCCACTTTCTCTTATTATCTGGGAGGCAAGAACAATCCCCACCTGGCTGCACACTCATTTCAGGGAGGTGTAGAGAGTGATAAAGTTCAGCCCAAGCCTCCTCAAACAACCCCAGATCCCTCAAAAGTTCCTCATAGGATTTGTGCTCCTTTCCCTTCATTCACACTAGTGTCCTTCTCTGGACATTCTCCAGCCCCTAAATGTTTCTCTTGCAGTGAGTGGCCCAGAACTGAATACAGGATTTGAGATGCAGCCTCACCAGCATTGAGTACAGCTCAGTTTCTCTCCATGTGTCATTTAACACATTACGTTTCTTGTAGTGCTGCTATGCAGATTCTGTGGCTGCCTTCTTTCACTGTCTGATTTTGATGAACTAGATTACTGCCTGTCCTGATCACTTGGCAACTGTTTTGCAGGTGGTGGTCCATTGTCTGTAGATTTTCTAGCACGTGATGATATCACAGCTTCACTTACTTGAGTAGACTATTTTTTTAAAAAAAAAAGACAAAACCATACCTCTCCAGTCACCGGATATTAATGTGGTTTTGACAAAGTGATGAAAGCTTCTTTTCAGTCACTTGATACCTCTGTGCTGAGATTTCATGCATGAATTATTGATCTGATAACATTGACTTTTGCCTTTGGAACAACAAAAATGAAAGTATGCTTCACTGGGCTGAGACATATACAGAGATATACAGAGTTTCATGTCTGTAGCACACTAAAAGGAATTTCCCAAGGCAGTTGTGTCAGTCTCAGGGCTGGATGCCTCTCCTCTCCCCACCTCCTCCTCAGGCCCTTACCCCAACACAAGAACTTGGTTAACCCTCTTGATGTGCCACTCAAAGTTTGAGTCAGGCAATAACAGGACAGTGCACAGTTAAGGGGTTTTTGTTTGGGTTTGGGTTTTTTGTTTTAATTTGGTTTGCTGTTGTTATTTGGCTTAGTTTGGTTTTCTTCTTGTTTAGAATTTATTTACTATTTGTTTTGTTTTTAACTCTTTCTCCCAGTTGCCAATCACTGGTATGATTTGTGCTGATGCAAGGGAGAAGGTGGGAATCCACAGAAGTGGATGATGGGAAGAGAACCAGCATCACGGTTGGAGAACTGTGAGATCAGTTCAAGCTGCAATTTGATAATATAGCCAAGTTTTCTGCAGGAAAAGACTGTAACAGTCTAAATACTGTTAGCTTAGCAGCTGGTGATACTTAACAACATATAAAGTATGTCGTTAAATACCACCAGCAAACATGTCTATTAGCTCATCAAAGTAACAACAATCTGTCTAACATAAAGGAAAGATAATTTTCAAACTTACATAACACAAACATTTAAAACATGCACTGTATGGTGAGCATACACCAGTAAGTCACCAGTTTCCAAAAATGGATTTCATTGCCTAGAGTGGTAAGTGTGTTTAAAGCAAGGACATGTGGTTATATCCAGCTGTTGTTACTCTACAGTGGTGACAAGTGCCCAGAGGAAACACAGCGGTGGCACTTGGCTGCTAGAAGGCAAATTCTCAGATACATGTATTTCACAGCAGAGGTAAACAAGTAGCTGTTAAAACTAACAGCTGCTACTACTAATTATAATAAGGTATGCATACAGACAATGTAATTCACCTTGTACTTGCTACATTCAGTGTCCAAACTCCAAAGAATGAACAAAACATGTTCATACAACTCCTATAAAATAAAATTAGGACATACTTCCATGAAAAGGAAGATACTCAGCTATTTTCTATTTCCCATTGACCAAAACAAAGCAACAGCAAAGATCTTATTTCCCAACCTCTGAGACAATTATCTCACTACATCTCAAGCAAGAACCAGCGTCAGATTTTGTTTGGTTGGCTTCATTTTTATTAGAACAAAAACAATTATCCTCATTTAAGCCGGCCATGATGTTCATGTCATTGTTTGTAGTGATATCTCAAAAAGAAAGGTGTTCCATGTGATATTTAAAATATCAAGAAATAAAGAAACACATGGAAAACACTACAGAATAAATTCAAACTGATATTCCAATAACATCCCTTTTTGAAAAAGGAAGACAAATTAACAGAAGATCTTTCCCAGCTGATTTTCAAAGAACATCTTTTTTTTTTTGTCAAGGAAATGAAGTCAGCAGATTAAAGCAGAAAGGAAATACAAAAATAAGGGAATTGAGAAAAAAAAATATCCATGAGTAAACTGCCAGTTTTCACTCCTGAGTGTCTGCTGACACTAGTTAGAAAAAGGTGCCATCTTGAGACTATTTATTTCCTAAGATCCTTTTTCCTGAAAATTTAAAAGATTTTTTGACACAGAAATCAAATAGCATTAACTTTCCTCACAATATATCTTGCAGAAGGCTTATGCAGTTTCTTGAGATAGTGATCATTTCTGGGTATGACATACAGAGGTTTAATTATGTATTCCCAATGAAAATTATTATTTTTTTTCCATATCACTGAGTCAGTATCATATCTTTTTCCATATGCTTTGTAATAAATATTGGCAGGAATTGGGTGACTCACCTTCATCTAAAGGAACCTCTTCCTCCTCACAGGGGGAAGGAAGGAGAGGTTGCAAAGGTTCCATGTTGATTATGAGTTGCTTGTTCAAGGAGGGAGAGCTGCGACTCTGGGTAATGCTGGTTCTAAAAGAATGGGGAAAACAGGGTCAGTTTGCTTACTGGAAATAGCTGCAATCCAGTAAGTCTCATCTCAGAATCATTTTGCATAAATTACTAGGCCTTGAGCTGTTGTTGAAAGCTCTACACATTGAACACTGCTTTCACCTGTGTAATGCTGCACCCTCTGCAGATGTAAAGATTTCAACATCTGAAGTGTGAGAGGTATTATGCTGATTTGCCTCCTTTACACTGCCTGACTTCCTTTCGTCTTGGGCAGGATTTCAGTGTGTTGCTCCCCTCCATAGCACACAGCAAACATTAGTATTCGGATTCAAGGAAGAGGAAAGTTGTTCCATTGCCTCCAGAACTGGATAAAGGATTTGTTACAGTTTGAGCACTGAGGATCAAAGACTAAAGCAGGAACAACTGTATCTCTTGACAGATACAGAGTGCTCTCACTCATGCCCACACACCCCAGATGCTGCCTCTACACCATGGCTCCCAGCACTCAGGCTGGTTTTCTTTCTTGTCTTACTTCACTCTAAGAGGCTTTCCTGGTAGCAGGTGTTGAATATACTCTGGAAAGTTTTAGGAATGCTGCTGATTTTCTTCAGTCATGATGGTTATTAGCCTAAAAATATATTACTGAGAACATAAAATGGTTCTTTTGAATGTGCTATCTAGGATTTACACAATACAGGCCTGAAGCAAGAGTCCTGCAGTAAATCTTAACAATTATATTATAAAATACTTACTTTGACAAAAGCAAATATGAAGTGGAAGAGTATTCTACTTGACTTCAAATGGTATATTGATACAGTCCTGAAGTTTCACAAAATGCATTTCAAGTCTGCATAAAAGGCTTAACTTAAAATTCCACATAAACAGATTGAACAAAAAACCTATTGCAAGTCAGAAGATGGATCCGTGTTGCTGAAGGTTTAGGTAAACTTGGGACACAGGTGTCCAATTCTTAACCCACACTACCTGTCAGTAGTCACTACCTGTCAGTCTGTGGAAATAAACAAGCTTTCTTGCTCAATTGATATGATTTTTTGTGTCATAACACATGCCCAAAATTCATATCCTCACTGCATTCTCTGAACACTCTCTGATAGCAATTTAGTTTAAGTTTCCACTATCCACAGAAGGTTTTCACTCAGATTATTATAGTCATTCCAACCCAAAGGTAAACCCATAGGCTTTTTATGCAGTCCCTGAACCTTTGTGCTTGTTGTAAAAAGCTCTCAAGCAACTCCCAAAATAGGAGCTATGCCTGGGAGCAACCACAGGCTTCTTCTCCATACTGATTTACAAAGATGCCTCCTTCATGCATGCCCTGGAAGCAAAACATTAGATCATTCATTTTGTGTTTGTCAGAAGAACTTGCCACTGCATTAATCCTGCATGACTACACACTCCAATAGATTTTCAGTACATAGTGCTTTAAGTGTAATATCCAAACACAAAGGTACTGAGTGGTACCCTCCTCTCAATTGCATGTTTCTTTCTTAGTGCAACCATGGTACAACTGAATTTACTTTAAGGTTGAGGACATAGGGAGGAAAAACCTTATACAGATATATAGATATACATTGACCTTCAATTAAATATATTTTTCCTGAATGTTCTGCTTCTGAAAAGCCGTCATTCCCTATCCCCAAATCCTCTTTCACAGAGGAACTTTTTTTAAAAATGCCCTTTTTTTTGAGCTGAAAATTTTCTATCCTTTTTGCCTGCTTGAGCTTTTAGAAGGATCAGCTACCTCTGTCTCCCATTTCACAACCTGAGTTATAAAAGCACCTGAAATCACTGTATTTCTTAGTTTTTCTAAGAAACTGAACTTGGAGCTTCCATAATATTACAAATGCAAACTTTGTAAGAAGGTTAATGATGAAAGATATGCATTCCTATTTGATGGTTGTTAAATCCATATGATGCTGCTATATAAATAAATTTATTTGCTCTCTGATCTGTTTCTTTATGTACACCAAGTTTTAAACAGTATGTTTAAAATACTTCTAAATGTAGAAATCAAAGAAAAGCAAAATGCAGGATAAAAAAAAAATAAATGTATGAAAATCTTTTCTTATCCTGGAAAAAAGAAACCTCTTGGAAAGTAGGCAAAGTAAGCTATTTCCGAAAGTGAACAACTAGTCTCATTTAAAATACATTTGTGTGCCCAAATATTTTATACTGTCTCAATGATCCATCTATATTTTGCCTTCTGTGTTATCATTTAACACATTCTAGACCTTCACTTACCCCATTTTAAAATGTAATCTGGAAAAATATGTTTGAAACATGCCTGCATGGCCTAACTATTAATTACAAACTAGGGCTGGATGACATATTATAAATATTTACTGCAAATATATTCCCATCTTTTAGTAAAGACAATCCACTTTTAACTCAAATACAGATAAAATAGCAATATTAAATTAAAAATAACAAAGAAAAAAAAAATCTCCCCAAACATGAAATCTTGACAAAAATAGGAATATGGCTGTAGAATGTTCAGATTTTTAAGTAACCTGATTTTTAAAAAGGCTTCAAATAGTTTTCCCTGATGGCCTCTTCCTTTTCTGAAGTGCTTTAATCAGGTTTTTAGAAATTTTTACTGTCAATAAAATGAGTGATAAGGACATGAAAACATTAGTTTGCTTTCAAAGTCAAGCAGCTTATTTCTTACAAGCCAAATTTTCCTCAAAAAAAAAAAAGATCTCTAATATTTTTTCCTCTTTACTGAATGAACTTCATGCTTTTTAATCTGAATGCATTATGGAAAAACTATGAAGTATACTTTAAAAAAGAACCATAAGCATATACAAACCAAGAACTTTAAAATCAAACAAAATCTAGGAATGAAATTAGAATGTACTTTTCTGTCAGGATCATGTAATAACAGTTTATGCCACAATACAAAAAACAATATAAGTTATCAATCTGACTGATTAGTTAAACTCAGCTTCAAAGCAGCACAGATTAGGTTCTCCTTTACAGGAGACATTGGTCAGAATTTTGTATCATTGTCAGATGTATATTTCCTAAGGCTTGCATGCATAATTGTGGAAGCTCAGAATTACAGCCATTGCACCTGATAATATTTATTTAGAGAAAAATAATCTTCCCTAGTCCTTAAACTTTAATACTGAATGTCATACCTGTGAACTTCAGGAGGTTCCCTCTGGATTTTAGAGCTTGCCTCCACAACCTCTTTGGCTACTTTTCCACTGCATTAAAAGATTAAATGAATATCCAAGTAAATACTAAGATACATGCCAAGAACTACATAAATGTGAGCAATTAATTTACATTAAAAAAGAATAAAATTAAAAAAGGGAAAAAATGCAATAGAGTGCATATATAATGTCCCAGAATAAAATCGTGCTGACTCCTTGCCCACAAAGCTACCAAAGAAAAAGCAACTTTTTGTAGTAGAACACCAGGAGTGGAACAGGACTGTATCTCACACCTGATTCAGAGCTGCCCAGCTGCAAGAGGTGTAAAATCTTTGCACTTGCCACACATCCTTATTTTTACAGAAGCCGAACCAAAAGTGGAGCTATCTGCTAGTAGAAGTACTCTTTACAGAAGCATCTGTGCAAAAGCTCCTGCTTATTTTTTAAGTGACACTAGAAAAGGCAACAGAAAGACTTTCAGATCTTGAAGTCAGCTAGGCATGAACAGATCCTCCAGCAGGAAAAGCCCTGAATTTGCCATGAGTAATTACTGGCATTTTCTTACTTCCTGAAACTATATACCATGAATAAGAAACAGCAAACACCTACCTATATCGAAATCTACTGCCTTTAAAAAATATCTTGCTGCTGGACATTGTCTTGATCTGACTGGACTTTGCATACCTTGAAGAAAAATAACAGAGGCTGTCACCTTTTCAAGGACAAGATAAGCATAAATGAACAAGACAAACTACGAACTTTGTTATTTTTATACCATAAAGTAATATTCCAAAAATGAGCTTTTCAACTTTTTAAGGCATTTATTCTAACTAGACTATGAAGCACACAGAAAATCATTGAGACAGCATAGAACAACAGAACATGGAACAAGTGATTATCATGAGAACAAGAAAATGAAATGCAGATGCTTGCTGCGTCTCTGAATTTTCATTCTCAGGATGAAGGAAAGACCATGGTATACCAAAAGCCTCTGAGACGTATGTCATAACACCACCTTGTTTGTGGGAGAATATGGCTATTTCTGCTTTTCCACTGGGAAAACAAAGAAATAATAAAGACAACAACTTGTCTCCCAAAGTAGATGCTTTTCCAATATATCTATTCAGTCAACTTCTTAGTAGCCTACATCATACCCTACTGCTTCTCTGTAATCACCAAGTACACAGCAACCTTTTATCACAGTCTAACAAAGAGGAAGTACCTCATACTGCCATTTCCTTGATGTTCTCTGGAAAAATGGCAAATTGATTTTGTACTGAGTGTCTCATTCCCAGACGCTAGGAAACAACTTTCTATGATTAATATCTACTTGAATAATTGCAACAGTGACCCCTGAACCTGGACCAAGACAGGACTAAAGCTCTGTTTTTCAAAACATGTCATGTGATTATGGCTTTACCTTAAATTCCAAGTCTCAAACTCTTCTAGGAAGAGGAGAGGACTGAATTTAATTAAGGCAAAGTGTCATTGCCGTGAATTATTTACACAATCTCACTATGTCTCCTTTAATCTTATTAGAATATCCTGTTGCCATTATACAGAACTTAAACAAATAGGATTTATCTAATGCTGCCAAGAAACAGTCCCCACTGTACAACTCTATTTCTCTGAAATGTGTAGACACATTTCCTGTTTTGAAACTACTATCTTAAGGCTTTACTTATAGATAGTTTTGGCTTCAGTTTCATGTCTGAAGAATTATTCTTTTTCTTCTGCACTCTGCATATCAAACATTACAATTTTCCAATCTATTGCTCACATCCCTATCCATTGAGTAACATTAGAAATCTTCGTTTCATTAAAGTCCTCTTGAAAGACCCACCAAAATTGAAAGGTAGGCATAACTTCAAGCAAGAATTGTTAAGGAATAATTCCACTCAATAAAGTAATTTGTAAAGTAGAAAAATAAATCAGAGAAACAGTATTGAACACGCTAAGGTCAGAGAATAATGAAGGGGAGGAGGTGCTACCCTGGTAGCAGATTCTACCCTGAAGTGAATGCAGAAAATTGTGGGGTAGGAGGCTGTCCTGCTGAAGCAAATACACAGCAGATATCCTCGCTGCAGCCCATGGAAGGCCCTGTAGCAGACCAACATGCTCTGAAGGAAGCTGCAGCCCATGGAGAGCTCACACGTGAGCTGGCTCCAGGCAGGCATTGTGGCCCATGGAGAGGAACACAAGATTCAGCAAGTATATCCTGAAGGACTGCAAGCCCATGGGAAGGACCCATGCTTGAGGAGTTCATGAAAGAGATTGGAGTAGAGGAAGAGAGTAAGAAGGAAGGAGCAGCAGAGAGGAACTGCAATCCCCATTCCCCATCTCCCTAAGCTGCTCAGGGCAAGGAGGACATAGAGGAGTCAGAAATGAAGGAGTAAAGTTGATCCTGGAATGAAACAAGGGAAGGGTTGTTTTAATTTTGTCTCTGTGGACAATTTGAAAAAGAGTGAAAACGTTAAAAGGAAATTAAATTAAACTTCTCCAAGTCAAGTCTGTTTTGCCTGTGACAGTAGTTTGTAAGCAATCCCTTTGTTTTTACTGTAAGCTATAAGCTATTTTATCATACTTTTTCCTCTTGACCTGTTAAGTAGAGGGAGTGAAAGAGCAGCTGGTAGGCATTGGCATCTAGCCAAGATCAAATCCCCTGAATCAAGTATTTGTGACCAAAACCCAAATAGTTAATATTACAGCCATTTAACAAGAGCAGAGAGGTGATATTTCTGTGAGTCTGCCTGAGACATTTTTACATTGAACTAATTTCTACTCAAAGAAATTTATTTATCTTCTTTAGGTGGAAATCATCTCCTATTCCCTATTTATTTCTTGTAACATAACATAAAACTACTCAAACACCATGCAGTATTTTCCTACTTAAGTCCACTTCCAACAGAAAATGCTTCTGGATAAACTTGAAATTAGTCTTTATTTATAGACTATATTTAGGCTTGATATAGTCTCAAGCACAGTAGATGTTGACAGAGAGTATTAACAAATGCATCGTGTCAGCTGCTACTTCCTTTTCTTTTTTCTATCCAATTGAATATATCAGTTGGATAGACTACATATTATTGTATCAATATATAATCAACTGTTAAAACTAAAAAAATACTCTCTCCAAATTAAAGCAGATCATTAACATCCAGGTTAGAAGACACATTTTTCCTACTTCATTTTTGTTTACCCTTACAGCAGCCCCCTAGTGTGGCTATGTGCCAAAACAGAAACAGTGATATTTATAAAATATGGGAGAGGCTGTAAGGAAACATTAAGTAGCAAGAATAAAATCTACATGCCTAGAGGGAAGCATCAATAAACAGATCTAACAAAATCAATGGAGGGCAGAAAGAATGCAGAGGAGTTTTTTAGTGAGGAATTATTATTAGCTTCTCTTTCAGAGAATAAGGAGGTAGATACTACGTTTTCTTTGTCTCATTATGGGCTCTTTAGGTATAACAAGATCACAGGTATCTTTCAAAATGTATCTAAGAATATTTTCTTCCTTAAATCATTACAGAGAACTGTTTATTTTTCAGTCAACTCTTACTAAACCTTCAATTTCAAGTGGAAGAACAATTACCTCCTAGCAGAAGAGCCCAGAGAAACAAGCATAACAGATTTTTTTCCTCCATTCTCAAGATATTCCACAGCAGGGCTAAGATTAACAGCTATGCTCCCAGACACAACTGCAGTAATCTGTCCATCCAATATCTCACCACAGAGCAGCAAAAGCATTGTGCTGGAGCCAAAACCCTCCTGTCTCATTTAGATTATAAACAATTTCTAATACTGGCTTGAAGTGAAATAATATTTCCCATTAACTTGCATATTTTCTGTCTGCATCTTGCCTTCTGTTAGTTAAATGGAACATTTCACAATGAGCAATTTCCACGCACATGTACTTTTCTTTACTTTTAGTATAGGTAATGACTTCAGGTGTACATACTTGTAAAAAGCCTGGTTCTCCACTCCACACTTCCAAAGATGCTTACAGGCTGCTGGTGTAGAGGTATGGAATGACAGCACAGCCTTCTTCTAAGTGCAAGGAAAAGAAAGCAAATGAAAGCAGTGAAAATGTTGAATTCTCAAAGATTGAAATAGCTGTACCTAATGGCATCACCTTTAAACAGATACACTGAAGACCAAGTTTTCCTGTGTAAGTGTAAATCTGTGGTTCTGGACACCCACACACCACAGACACACAATCCATACATAGCTGATATTTAAACTGCCCAGGCAATTTTTTCAGAAACAAAAGGACATGCTTGGAGGGGGCATGGAAGAACATATGTACAAGTGGCTTTTAAAACTATAAAACTGGTCAAAAGCAAAGGATGTAAATCTCTGTGTCCAATATTCTACACCATACTGTTGCTGCACTACTTACCACCCACCTCTCCCTCCTCCCTACCATTCGATGTCCTACCATCAAAATCTCCTTGCAACCACATGAGCAGCCCTGATACCTCTGGCATTATTTCCTTCCTTAATTTTCTTTCCCCACCTCCATTCAAAACCATAACCTTAGACTATATCACTCTGATTTAGGGAAGGAACCAATTATAACATGCTGTAGGCAAATAGTCTGTAGGATTTCAATGACAAGAGCTCAGTGATAGGACTTCTAATTCCATGAGACAGACTCTAACCTTTTCAGCTCACCAGAATTTGAGGATGGGATTGTAATTATCCAAAAATACCTCAGATTGACTCAGGTACCAATGCTTACCCGAATTTGCAATCATATACAGACATCTTCTGTACGTTACAGTGGGCAAGTACAGCTTTAGCACTTAAAAATAAATTAAAGCTTGACTCCAATGGCATCCAAAACCATGAACAATCCACAGTGTGAAAATTAAGTGAGAAAATGTCTCAACCCTTTGCAAATTAGACATTTTTTCAGAAATTACTGCCATTCATTCATAGTCTGTTTATTTACAATATTAAATACAATTATTGATTATTTAGAAGTTTGTTTAGTTAAAAAATATATTGTCTTTTATAAGTTTAATCAAATACAGGAGTTTTGTAAAAATATTAAACATAACCTCTTTCTGAGCTCCAAACACATAAAATGTCTTCCCTTCAAATTTCAGTTTATAGACATCACACCTAGAAAGAGAAAAAATAGTTAGGTATAGGGAAAAAAAAGATAGATCTACAAGTAAGAAAAATAACTAGCATGTAAATTTCCCTGATTACCAAAGTCAAGCAGGCTATCAAATGACAAAAGCCCTCAAAAGGCCTTACAGGCTTTAGGTCAAAATTATTTAATAGTTTAATTTTTTTAGAGGACATAAGCCCAGAGCATTTATTTTACATCCTTATGTACCTTCAAAGAATTAACTTTGTCTGCTGGAAAGTGAAAAGGAAATTAAAGGTAGAAAGAAGTTTATATTTATATTATATGTATGGCACACTACGCAATTCCTCTTACATCTTGAAATCTTACAGTGTCTATTGTAATTAAATTGAGGGAAAGATAATGCTCTTTTCTCTATACTTATTTATCTGAGGCTTCATATCACACATCTTAATAACTGACTACTTATTACAGAACACAAGAAGAAAATGTTTGACAGCAGTAGTTACAGAGGGGCTTTTTGAGTTGAAAAACCTGTATCAAAATTTAATTTAATCAAGGTTGAGTTCTCAATCTACATATGGAATAACAGTGCACCATAAAAAGGCAATGTCATGCCTCTGCTTAAATTGTAATGGAAATTTTGTCATTACCAGAGTTAAAATGGAGACACTGTTTTTTCATAAATTTCCCAAAGGGTTTTGCAAGTCAGAGTTGAAACAGGAATAATCTTGGAGGCAAGGACAATGCTATACCTGAAACTTTATAACAAGTTTTCCTTTCACATGAAAAGAACAAAAATCATTGTGAAAGCTTTTACATTGAAAAGAAAATCTCAAATACAAATTTGGGGTTTTATTGTGCAGTGCAAATTTCAGCTAAAATTAGTTACAGCTACTTGCACTTACTTCTAGGCCTCTGAAATGGAAGAAGCAGTACATGTGTTCAGATAAAACCCATCAGACTGACCTTTCAGCCTCTACTGTAACACTGAGAGTTTATTGGGTTTTCCTCTGTCACCGCTTTATTTTTTATCTAATTTACATATTAATGCACTTAATAAATATGCCTAGGACACATTATCCTCAAATAACATGAGAAGCTAAATGCTTGCTGTGAGATGAATTTCCCACGGTATGGTGGACACATGCTTGGCAAGTGCTACTCTCTCCTCAGTGTGCCATAGGCTGACATTACTGTTAAATTTTCTTTGTGCCAAAACCACAAACCACTGAAGTACTGTGACCCCAGCTACCTGCAATTAACCCTGGGGAAACTATAGTGTAAATCCAGGATTGCAAATGGATGGCTTTCGATAGCCATGTCCCCAGAGCTCAATAGGGAACTCAATTGTACAGACAGGATGACAATGACTTTACACTTCTGAGGATTTCATGTTATTCAACACTCAGGGAAATGTCTACAAATATGCAGCAAGGAGCCCAGCTTCACCTTTTTTTCACTTTCTGCCCTTCTTGATCCCACAAGACAGGCTGAGAGCTCAGAGATGGAACAGGCATACCTAAGAAACTGTTGTTGGCATGCATGTAGCAGCAGTGCTAAAATGAGATTATCAGTGTCTAAGCATGACTGGTCACTTTGCACCACACTGCTGAGGATGTGGCTAGCTGCAGGAGCTCAGTTTTTACCTCTTCCTCAAATGTGGCTGACAAAGGCTAACAAATTAAGTCCTGGAGTTCAAATAAAAGCAAATCTAGACAAACCAAGGACAGTAGCATAAGTGCCCATTTCTTAAAAAAAACAGACTAAAAGAATAAAAATTCAAGGGCATTCTCACCTCTACCTCCTCTGCTTACCAAATAAGTTATTTTACAGTTTTCAAATTGAGGGTAATTAAATGAGAAAATTGCAATATTTCCATGATTCAAATAAAGATTTAGGTGGACTTTTATAAGTGTCCCAGACCTCTCTGCCAATAAACCTCACAGGTGATTTACAGCATAGCTGAAAAATCAACTTACTCAATTTTAGCATTTGTAAATTATGTTGACTAATGTAGTCTGTGGAATAGTTTTCACTGGGAGTTGAATGAGACCAAATTGCTGTTGTTGTTTTTATTGTTGCAGTTGTAGTTGTTATCTAAAATCCTTTAAAACAGAAATATGATGGGGCAGGAGATGTAATATTCACATGGTTCTCCTTAAAGACAACAAATTGAGGCGAAGATGGTAGGAAGAGAAGACACAGGAGACAATATGCTTATTTATTAAAATATTCTTACATCATATACTTACCATTTTAATAAATGAATTCTTTTATTCCCCTGGAAAACTACAAATCCTGCAGCTGTGAATCCTAAAAATGTAGTTGTCCCAAATGAGTCCTTGAAAGAGAAAAAGAAACATAACAACAAAACTTTCCCCTCATCCAATGAGGTATTTCTTACTGGTAACATAATTGTCACTCCATTCTAAACTACCTTTATTTTGTTTTCATCTTCAAAAGAAATTATGCCTTCAAAATGTACACTTCTAAAGGAAAGGACTGCTCTTGGCAACAGAGACCTCATTTATTTCTAGGCATTTGAGTAACAATACCTTATGCTTTGTTTCCATCTACCTGTAGCTGATGACAACAGGAACTCCTTAGGTAGACTTACCAAATTTATTGAAAATGTACTTCTGTGTATGTCCCATTCTTAAAAGGAGAACTAACTACAAACCAGGGATTCATATGTGCTTCAACACATATTTTTTTAAGAGTTCACAATACATTACAATACATTGTTCCTCTGCAAGGTGTTTGAAATACTGCTGACAGACAGCATTTACTAATATAAGCTTCTCTTTTGCACTCGTGTTCTCTTCAGTACAAACCAGAAGAAATAGTGGTACCTTCCTTTCAAATAGAACAGAAAATTTTTAAAATATAACTTCACAATAAAAGTTCTGGCTTATAGTTTTTGATTAATGATTGAGATGAATTTTATATGAACCAGATTTTCTGTCCATCCCAGGTTCCATACCCTCATCTTACTAAAGATAATCAACTTTATTATGCCTTATGTTTTACCAACAAAGTAAAGGGGAACAGAAACAGGGATGGTTCTGGAGTATCAGCCAAAGCACTGAAAGAAGCATGTCATAAGGAGCCAGCAAAGAACCTTGCTTTGCAGTTCACTTTCAGAAGACAGACAGATTTTCCTTAGGTATGGGTGATAAACCTCTGATTGTCCCCCTCAATTACAAGCCCTGCCACACAGGTAAAGAAGTAATTCTGAGCCAGTTATGGCTCTGTTTCTGGGACGCCTTTTGAAAATCTGTAGTATAGTTTCAAAGGCAAGTTTACTACATCACTGACTTCACTAGGCTCTGAACAACGACCCTGTCTTTCACACAGGACCACCGTTCCTCAAAAAGTACATACAAAATCTTACGCAGTTTTGTATTAGAGTTGAGTGCTTAAGGATGCTCACCACCAGAACAGCTAACTAAACAGCACTGCTGACCCAGCAGAAGAGATAATACACAAGGCAAAGCAAAAGCAGCAGTTGAAACACAAGGCAAGTCACTCTAAAAATAAACACTGCAGATTATGCAGGTACAACCAAGTAATTAAAAATGCACGCATACAAGATAATCAGAATTGGTAATTAAGATCACCTTCTTAGAGAGGACCACAAAATAACAAAGTGGGAAGTGGGAATGGGAAGTGGGTTCTCCTGCTTGTACATTTGGCTTGCTGGTCTTCTTAAGCTTTGCATATTTTGATGGTGTCTGAAAAACTGATCTGCCATGGACTATCAATATGTTGCATCTTCTTTTCAAAATAATGATGAATTCTGAAAATCTTGGCAAACAAAAAATATTCATACCTGGAGTAATTAAAAGAAACCTTTGCACTAAATGCAAAGAAATGATGGACTATAATCAGAGTTTATGCCATTACAATCTACTAGATTCTCCTGGGATGTTCTTCTGCTTCCTCTGGGGAGACCTGCTTTTAGACTGATGCAGAAATGTTAACCAGTCAGTGTTCTTCCAAGGCTTAAGCATAATATGTAGTTTCAGGGCAGCTTTTTAAGAAATTGCTCCCTATTTGTGCCTGGATAAAAAACAGAGCTAAATCAATTCCATTACTGGTTTTTAACTAGATGTTACTAAAAAGAACATTTTATTAAAAGTTAGCAAAAAGAACTGTTACCTTGCAAGGATGAGGATCAACACCATAAGTTTCCAAAGAATTTGCTTTAAGAAGCAAGTTAAATTCAGCAACAGCTGGGCTCTGACCTCTGAAATTACAAAAGAAAAAGCTGTTTGACAGCAACAAAAAATAGGAGAAAAATACTTTTTGACTGGAGAGTTTAAATGCCTAAAAACAGAGGGAGGTAAAGTTTTTACTGACATTCAAACTATTTCAACCATTTTTTTTGTAATAAAATGGTAGAAAACTTCTCACATCTTTTCTTCTGCTGAATTGTACAGTGCCTGATGCTTTCAGGTAAATTCTGTTTTATTTTTATGAATCCTGAGATAACAACAAAATTCTCTAATATTCTGCAAGTATTTCTTGTCTTCTTGATATACCCTCATGTCAGCCTGAATATGAAATAAACCTCAGCATCTTTTTTCCACAAACTCTTGCTCACCATCTCATTTAAAAGGATTGTGCAGATTAACAAACATTCCTTCCAGTGCAGGGTATAAACACAGCAATCATATTACACTGCCTACTCAGATGTATGCCTAATTATAGCAGTGCCTGCTACCAACATGATAGCTCAGAATTTGTCAGCATTTCCATTTATACACCTCTATTTTTAGGTTGTCTATAATCAACAGCAAATATACACTAAAGCCTGAAAGATGGCATGAAGACCTGGGGTCTGGAGTAACTTTTATCTGATTTTTGGTAACTACCTACATTACAGTAAGCTCTAACACAGATTTACAATGCCTCTCTGTTTCAAGTATTACTTAATTTCTGTATCTGTATTACTAGAGTACATGATTTTGATAGATAATACAATTTTTTGATATTGACCAGTGCCTAGGACCTTTAGAAAGCCGAACCTCATAAATACTTTACATGCAAATTTAAAAAAATAAATAAATAAAAAAGCCATAAACAAATTTTCAAGGAGCATAGCAATAGTCATACTTTATTCTACCCCTTTTTTGTTGTGAGCTCAGCTTTACACTGTGATCAATTGTACATAGGAATTGACATTTAATAGTTCACTATGTATTGTTGCAACATAATTTCCCTGAAAGCCTGTCATTCCCCATCATGTAGAAACCAACAAGTATTGACATACGATATCCAGTATTTGGTCAAAAGTTCAGTTTAACAATTAAAGCAACATCTAGCATGCCTGTGGACATCAAATCCTATTTTGAAAATGACAGGATAATGACCTGTGGTAATGTAAGTGTCAATAACCATTTCTGTTGCAAAGTTTTAAAATTGCTCATATTTACTTCACTGTTTATCATCTCCTAGTCAACCCCGCAATATTTCTTGGGCTTCTTCAGTATTTATCTGACACTACACAACCTTCACTTTATTTCAGACCACATTTTTGTGGATGTTTTTCATCTAAATTTAAAAAATATATATTAGAGAAGAAGTGACCTTCTTTCTCTTTCCTGTTTTGGTCTCTTTCTCACCACTTCCAGTGGGGAAGAGCATGTATTAAGGGGAGCACCAAAAAACTACAAATGTATATTTATACAGCTAATATTTAAGGAGAAAGCAGCACGAAAGCAGCATTCAAACAAAAATGCTTACTTTTCCACTCAGATTTTTGGTAGCTCTACTAAGCTTTTACTTAATTTTAAATACTACTGAATCACAACTTTATGTGTCTTTACAACTGTGAGACCATAAATGACCTCTAAAAAGGCAACAAGTTTATTTCATGTACAGCATTTGACAGAAGTAATTGACTAGTTTAGACCTAAATTACTTTAAAATGGTTATGTTGCATAGTGAAAAGTCAAACAAGCAGTTTGAATGCTTATTAGATGTTAGGCCTTACAAAAACAAAGCTTTATAAAATGCATTTTTTTATCCACTTCTGTTTGTTTGTACAAAGGAGAGTCAATCTTCTGGTTACAATGGACCAAAAAGTGACAAGTAGTTTGCAACAATATGGTTTGGAGAGTTGGTATACTCAAATGAGGAAAAAAACCCCTCAACTTGCCAATACTATTGAAGAGACATTAAAATAAGTATTATCAGGCTCCTCTCCCCCACACCCTCTGCAACTATGATGATTTTACATTCCTCGAGTGAAACAAACTGTGTAATTTTGGGGAAAAAAAAGCAGAAGACATGGGCAAATTTGATCTTATCCGACTACAGACTAATCAAATGGCTAGAGTGCAAAGCCTTAAAAGAACATCACAAAGCACAAGAGTCAAGGACAATATCAAATGAAAAAAATCCTCATTCATCCCTTATGAAAGGATTAGCATTTAAGCCTTGATAATATGCTTTTCATGTGTAACTTAGTAATGAAATTTTTCTTACTAAATAAAAATATAACTGTAACAAATCCTACCAGCAAAGTCAGCGGTTTTTTATCAGTCACTGATCTAATATTAGATATGCCTTTGATTTGCTTTGTTAAAAAGCCCGTAAGCCTTCTATATGCAACAAACAGCCTTACACAAGAATTTATATTTATGCAAGTATTTTACAGTCGAAAAACAGGGAATATTTAGCAAACACATATTTGTTTTTTTGGAACCCAGTACTCTCAGGAAACTCAAGTGTCTGAATTTACTGTTCTTGACCTTATTTTTCAGTATGAATTCAGCACTAAGGGAAAGATATGCTCTCTTTCTATATATTGCAGGCAGTACAACACCATCCTGCTGCATGGCAAAGGTACTGAACATGGCCAAAACCAGGAAGAACTCCTCAGAAAATTTTCTGCATATCATACAAATGCTAAAGGGGGGATTATTTGTGAAATTAGAGCTCCACAACCATTAGCTATGAATTAATGATTCAACCTAAGAGTCAATCAATCAATCCAAAAGTTCCTAATAAAATTTTAATGAAACAAATACTTCAATAGAACACTGAGAAGTATGCAAAACACTCTGTTTTAACTTGAGGCTCATGAGAAGTATGCATTAGAGGATGTAAAAGCTCTCTTTATTCCCCACAGGGTCCCAACTTTGAAGCACTTCAAAGGCAAGGAAGCTCAACAGGGAATAACTTCCAGGGTGTGTCAAAGTGATGGTCTACTTGCTTCACTCACTGCCAAAACCAAATCATTCCAGAAGTTTCTCCCCTTCATACCTTTCCTTTGAAGTATGTATCTGTTACATACTGAAGTCATAAATCTTAGTACAAGTTAAGGATGAAACAGCATGGGATTGAGAATTAACTCCTTTTGACAAAGAAGACCATGTAGAAAAAACAGCAAAGGAAAAACATTTTCAATGCTGTTCTCATCCTCTTGGTTCCTGAGTGCCACTATTGAGGTCATTTGATTTGTCTTCTCTGATTCTCTTACTGACTTATAAAGTGCTGTGAGATACTACTTTTAAAAAAACAATAACAATTACAGTCCACCCTTTTGCCTCATCTCTATGTCAAGAAAAGGTACTTCCTGCAGAATACAATAGCAATACTCTACTAGAGTATGTACTATCTATGTTTAACTTCTGGACATTTGCAGTTTCTAAAGGTGTATTAATGTCCTTTAATAAAAGAATAAATAAATACGTACATAATGATCTGGCCTCTAGAGACATTGCATATTCATATCCATGTGAACCAGGGACATCAGTCGTAATGCTATAAACAACATAGGTTCAGTCTCCATCAACCTCTCTTTGCCCTATCCTGCAATCATGGACATATTTCACTGTGATTGCAGGAGAGACAACAGTAACAACTTCAAAAATTATGTCCTCCTATTAAATATTCTTGCTGTTCTATCCCAGAGTTTCTAGAGGCCATCTCCCAGCAGAACTGAGCTATCTGGGGTTCCTTTTAACCTAAAATAATGCTAAAACTCTGCCAAAGAGTCAGCACATTTAGCTGCACTGCACACTGAGCACACAACTGCTTACTACACAAGCAAGTTTTTGCTGTTGCATCTTTAAATCTCTTTATATGTATCTGAGACTCCAGTTGTTATAAAATTATAGCACTAATGGTCTTCATCAGATCTTACTTTAAGCTCAGAATATTTTGGCAGATAGTGGAGACGTTTTTATATAAAGTCTTTTTGCTGTATTTTTAGTCACAATAATGGTGCTATGTAGCATTGAAATAAAATTATGATTGCTAATGTTTTAGTTGTAGTGGAAAAAACGACACAGTGGTGGTGATAATTTCAAGGAAGAGAACTAAATTAAGATTCTGGTAAAGGAAATTGCATTGTAGTCTGTGGTTCAGTTTATTAGAATTGTAAGGCCAGACTCAGCATGTTGCCCAAACAGCAGTGCAGATCCCCAGGAACTGCCCAGCCTGGTACTGGCAGAGGAAAGCCTTTAAAAGGGTCTGTATATGGAAACATTATCATCTAGGAAGTAAATGAATTGCTGAAAATTGCTGAAACATACTAAACTTAGAAAGCTGCAGAACACTTAAATATCAATTTTAACTTTTACTGTAAAGTTGTTTTTTCTCTCAGACAGACAGAATCTGAGTAAAACCCAAATAACCACTTTAAAACAATAATCAAACTCTTTTACTGAGTCTATTAAATGCTTTTGGGTTTAATTTTACAGCATGCATGCTGTGATGATATGTGCAAATTACATAACTTCCTAACCAGAACATTTCAAATTACTTGTGCGCCTTCAGAGATTAGACTGAGATGGTATCTCTAAAGTCTGTGTTCAGACATTTGTATTTCAGCTTTACTTCATAAATTGATGCAGTGACACAAGCAGCTTTACATGTATTCAAAGACAGAATACATTTACAGAAGAGATGCAGCTTTAATTTACCTAATATTAATTTAAAATGTATTCCCATGATACAGAGATATCTAGCAATCTTTCTGGTTTTATTATCACAGTAGATTAATATGTCTGGTCCAAACACACCTGGCCCATAATGCCTTCTCCAAACAAAGAAGAGGTGAGAAGGGAGGAGGGGAGCAAAAGAAATATTTCCTTCCAACTTATGAAGAAATCCTTACATTTTAAAATTTCACACAGGCATTTGAAGATATCAGTGTGTTAAGCATGCAGAACCATCACAAGACAGGCAAAAATAATGATATTTGCAGATCATGATTATGACCACTCTTTCCAGGGA